TACATTTCCCATCATCCCCTCTGGCTACCACCTGTGCACACTCCACAATCACCACACCTGTCTGCCATCAGCCTCATCAGTTCCTCTACATAAGCCAGCACCAAACACACATGGTTGTCTGGTCCCGTCATTCCGTACAGAACTACTTACCTGTGGGTTACTTACCAGTGCATCGAACTGTCCCAGCCGTCGTCTTCTGTCATCTGTCTATCACCACTGGCCTACCTACAGCCCTTCAGAAACTCCTCTCCAGAACCTGCTCCACAGATAAATCTATCATTCTCACGCCAGTATCATCACAGTCACAATCTGCTAACCAGAAACTCGCCTGCTCTCTGCTAGAGTATTGTTCAAATAAAACTGTTCAGACGATTACCTGTGTTTAGATTCTTCTGTTCCGTGACAGAAGACCAGACCTAAAACATGAACTGGGCTGAAGATTTCATCCTTTCTCTCCAACAAGATGGTCAACTTCCTCTCCGGCAATATGGCCGATCTCTGGAGTGATATGTAGAGGAGTTTTTGGAGTTCTCCCATCGGGTGAGTTGGAGCGACAGAACACCCTGATTGTTTTCAGATAGGATTGGATGAGGATGTGATTCATTCTCCTGTGGGTTATTTACCCTTAGCAGAGTCTATTAATTTAATTCTCTGGCTTAATGGTTCCGATTTTGTTGTTGAAGTTAAGAATTGCCCTCATCCAGTCCCATCTCAAAAGTGCATAGGCGCTCCAACTCCCCCCAAGCCTGCCACCAAACCCTCTACTTCCCTGGACCATCTCTTACACTCCAGAGGTCATTCCAGTCCCAGAATTCACTTCAGTTTTTGTCACTGAGCCCACTCCTGAGACTATACCCCCCATAACCTCTGTCAAAAGGAGGAAGCAGAGAAAGAAGCATTAAGTATCAGCTCAAGTTCAGCCCTGTGAGGGCTCCAGTCCCCGAGTTCAGCCCGGAGTTGATTCTAGCTCCAGAATCTGCTCCAGAGAATGGAAACCCTGAATCCACTCCAGAGAGTCGAGAGATGGCTCTAGCCCCTGACCAGAGATAATGGCCCCTGTTCCTGAGTTTGGCCCAGAGAGGGCCCCTGTTCCTGAGTTTGGCCCAGTGAGAGCATCAACGCCCAAGTTCAACCCAGTCACCATACAGCCCAGAAAAAACCCAGCCCTTGAATTCAGCCTAAAATTGACTCCACAGCCCACGTTCAGTCCAGAGATGGATCTAGCCCCAGAGTTCAGCCTTGATAGAGTTCCAGCTATGGATCACTGCCTGATTAGGACTCCAGTTCCAGACTTCAGTCCCGAGTGAACCTATCACTGATGTCGTTGTGAGCATCAGGCATCCTGGTATCCTCAGTGCTCTCAAGCCCAGACCTCTTAGAGGTTCTGCCACTCTCCACTGCTCTTCCAATAATGGCGGTTGCCATTTTGTGTGTCTGGGCTACACACTGCTCTTCTGCCCATGAGTCTGTTCCAGAGCCTGCTCCAGTCCATGGGTCCGCTCCGGTGCCCGTTCCAGTCTATGGTTCCGCTGCAGAGCTCACTCAACCCTTAGAGCTCAGTCCTGTGCTGGTGTCAGCCTGTGAGTTCCCTGCTTGCCCTGCTGTGATCATGGAGACTGATATTATCCCATGTCCTCTAACTTCCCATGTGATTGCTATGGAAGCCAATTTGATCTCCTGTTCCCCGAGTTCCCATTTGACGGCTATGGAAGCCGATCTGATCCCTTGTTCTCAGAGTTCCCTCGTCACGGCCAGGAGTGCCATTCCCTGTTCCAATGACTCCAGTTCCATCATCACAGCCAGGAGGGCTGTTCCCTGTTCCGAAGAATCCAGTTCCCTCATCATGGTCAGGAGTGCCGTTTCCTGTTCCAATGATTCTAGTGAGTCCAGTTCCAGGGTTGCCACCAAGGAGGCCGTTTCCAAGTCCAATGAGTCCAGCTCCTGTTTCACGGCCAAGGAGGCCATGTTGAGATCCAGGCCTTCGGATCCTCCCGGATCTCTTGCTCGGACGGATGAGCCCTGGCCTTCTGCTCCACCTTGGATATCTTCGTACTCATCTACTCTACTGTGGTGGTCTTCTGCTCCACCATGGAGGACTTCAGTATCATCTGCACTGCTGTGGTGGTCGTCTGCTCCGCTGTGGGGAGCTTCAGTGACGTCCACTCCACTGTGGTGAATTCTGTGTGGCGTGAGGTCATGCCTTCGGGAAGGAGGGAGTACTGTCACCAGTTCACCAGCTCCTTTCACCATGTCTGTCACAAGACTAGTCATCTCAGCACAATACATTTCCCATCATTCCCTCTGGCTACCACCTGTGCACACTCCCCTATCACCACACCTGTCTGCCATCAGCTTAAACAGTTCCTCTATATAAGCCAGCACCAAACACACATGGTTGTCTGGTCTTTTAATTCAGTATGGAACTACTTACCTGTGGATTACTGTGGAACTGTCCCAACCTTCATCTTCTTCTGTGATCTGTGTATCACCACTGCATCGACAGACACATACCTTTCCCAACAGCACAGCAGTAATGATTTTGTCATTATTTACTTCCAAGATCGATACTATTAGAGATCAAATTATAACCATGTAGCCGTCGGCCACAGTATCGCAACAGATAGCACACTATAGATCCCCTGAGGAACAATTCCATTCATTCTCTGCTATAGGACAGGAAGAATTGTATAAACCTGTCAAATCATCAAAACCTACAACATGTAGGTTAGACCCAAGTCCATCTAAGCTACTAAAAGAGGTGCTTCCAGAAGTCATAGATCCTCTTCTGAATATAAATTCATCAATGTCTTTAGGATATGTCCCCAAAAACCTTCAAATTGGCTGTTATTAAGTCTCTCATTAAAAAACAAACAGCTTGATCCTAGAGAATGTTAATTACAGACTGATCTCAAAAATCTCAAAAATACTAGAAAAGGCAGTATCCTCTCAGCTATGTTCCTTCTTAGAGAGATATGGTATCTCTGGGGATTTCCAGTCAGGATTTAGACAGTATAATTGTACAGAGACTGCTCTCATCAGAGTTACAAATGACCTGCTCTTATCCAATCGTGGTTGTATTTCTCTATTAGTGCTACTGGATCTTAGTGCTGCGTTTTACACTATCGACCACAACATTCTTTTGAGTAGACTACAATATTATGTTGGCATTAGTGAAATTGCATTGTCATGGCTCAAATCTTACTTATCTGACCGTCATCAATTCGTAGCAGTAAATGATGACATCATATCGATGACAAGTACTGTACAGCATGGAGTGCCACAAGGCTCAGTACTAGGACTATTGTTTTTTACACTTTATATGTTACCCTTGGGAGATACCATCAAGAAACATGGTGTTAGCTTTCACTGTTATGCTGATGATACTCGGCTCTATATTTCTTTGCGGCCCAATGAAACCTACAAATTTGCAAAACTAACAGAATGCATAGTTGATATAAAAAAAACTGGATGACTAGTAATTTGCTACTGCTAAATTCTGGGGAAAACACTGTGCTTTTATTTACTGGACCAAAATTTTTTTATTTAACCTAGAACACTGTCTTAACACTTGATGGCTGCTCTGTTAATCCCTCGTCATCAGTTAGGAACCTTAGCGTGCTATTTGATAGCAATCTTTCCTTTTGAAAACCATGTTTTTAGCATTTGTAAAACTGCATTTTTCCATATTAAAATGTGTCTAAATTATGACCTATGCTCTCAATGTCAAATGGAGAAACGTTAATTCATACATTTATAACCTCAAGGTTAGATTATTGTAATACTGCTTTGGGTTGTTGCCCTGCGCGCTTAATAAACAAACTCCAGCTGATCCAAAATGCAGCAGCTAAGAGTTCTTACTAGAACCAGGAAGTAGGACGACATTAGCCCGGTTCTGTCAACTCTGCACTGGCTCCCTATTAAACATCAACTTTCAAATCTTGCTAATTACTTATAAAGCCCTGAATGGTTTAGCTCCTCAATACTTGAGCGAGCTCATACCACATTATAGTCATGTCCGCTGCGATCTCAAAACTCTGGCCTTTTGATAATACCTAGAATATCAAAATCAACTGCAGAACCAGAAGCAGAACCTTTTTCTATTTAGTGCCCAAACTCTGGAATAATCTACCTAGTGTTGTCCGGGAGGCAGACAAACTCTATCAGTTTAAATCTAGTTTAAAGACCCATCTTTTTAAGTACACATTTTTTTGAGTACACATATTATATTATCGCATTTCTATAATTCAAATCCATTAAAGGATTGTTAGGCTGCATTAATTAGGTCAACCGGAACTGGGAACACTTCCCATAACACCCGATGTACTTGCTACATCATAAGAAGAATGGCATCTATGCTAATATTAGACTCTTTCATTCTTCTTCCGAGGTCACCGTAGCCACCAGATCCAGTCTGTATCCAGATCAGATGGTGGATCAGTACCTAGAGACGACCTATACAGCCCTGAATGTTAGCTGAGACCATGTCAACTAGATGCACCCAAGAGACAGATCCCCTGCAAAGCCCTCATTACCTCGACAACCATCGGCACAAGAACACAGGAACCAGACAAGGCCAGAGGAGAACTGGCCCCCCGACTGAACCTGGTTTCTCCCAAGGTTTTTTTCTCCATTTCTGTTACTGATGGAGTTTTGGTTCCTTGCCACTGTTGCCTTTGGTTTGCTTAGTTGGGGACGCGTGACTGATTGCACAGACACTATTGGAAGAGAGCTGAACTGGATAATGACATCACTGAATCAATCAACTTATTTTCCTGTTTGACACTGTAAAGTGCTAAAGAAAGGTGATTTGACTTCATTTAAAAAAAAAAAAGTCAGTTAATCTTCCATGAGTCACCTTTTTCAGCCCCTCTTTTAAATACTGCTCTTTTTCTAGCTCTCAGTGTTTTTGAAGTGGACTTAAAGAGAAAATATTAATATTTAATATATTTATTAAATTTTTATCCAAAGTGACTTACATTGCACTCAAGCTAAACACATTTTGTCAACTGATGCATTTCCTGATATTATTCCCAAACATTCTAAAACTCAAACATTATTGCCAAGAAGTGACAGTGTCAATTTCCGACTAATAATATTAAACATCACTTTGCACTCATGCACTATCATTTCTAATGCCATCAGATACTAATTTAAATAACTTCCCATATATATCTAATTTAGTTCATTACAAATGCATGTCAGTTTTCATAATTGCAAATGTATTGTTGGAGTGGAGAGTGGGGTTAACAGGCATTGGTACGTGGAACAGATAGTCAGTGAAGTGAGGAACAGAAACTAATTTTAAACTGTGCTCTGTGAAATGGAGACCTAAAATAAATGTATTTTACTTGTTCAATTAAATGTATTTATCCAAACTCTCAATAGCATCATGTTTTGAGTATTTTCTCCATTCATCTGGTATCTTTCCCTGCCCCTCAAATGTTTTACTGTAGTGTTTTTCCAGATCTTTCTGGAATCTGCACACAAACCACTTCCAGTAGGGCAGTTCAGAGAGGTCAGGGGTGATGCTCCAGTTTGCATAAACTCCTCCTGCTCTTCTGTATTCTCTCCAGGGGACTTTATCTTCTGAGTCAATGGGATGAAAATGTAAATTGTGCTTTGCTACTGCTGATGTGCAGATGTGGACAGACAGGTTATTTGTTTTTGCAAAATATATTCCGCTTAGTCCAATAACCTGATGAAAAGGAACACTGTGATCCTCACCGTGGTTTTCTATGGTGTTGGTGCAAATGGCTTTACAGAATGGACACTGAACCCAACAGCACTGACACAAGTGATCAATTAGAAGCTCATCTGGTCTGAACTTATAGTCTAGATTTTCTGGAAAAGTATTTTTGTTGAATCTACTGCTGATGTCTGACATTATAGCATTAAGTTCTTGTCTTATCACATCTTCTAGGAGGTTGAAATCATCAACATCATCATGTTTGACTCCACTGAGGTGTTTTTGAGAGAAGATCAGCTCATCTGAGAGCTGCTGTGTGAAACTCTTCAACCACAAACCAGCATCTCCACTGTTCACTTGAACATGTTCAGTTGATTCATGTGCTGCTTTCATGATCTTCTGCTGCAGGAGTTTAGTGTTCTCCTTCATCTTGGGTAAAACACTGATACTGAACTTATCGTTGATGTACTGTCTGACTTCATCTCTGATGAAACTCTTGAAGTGATCTCTGGGATTATCAATGTAGTCCATGTATTTGTCAAAATCCTCCTCTTCTGCCAGTGTTTTCAGGATGTGCTTCTCCAGATTTGATCTGTTTCCTTTCAGTGATGCACATTCTGTTCTCATTTCATTTGCCAGCTCTCTAGCAGTCTTCTTGTAGAGACTCTGCTCAATGGGCTCTTTAAGTTTCTGACAGATGATCTCACCAAAAATGGCAGCTGATG